ATTTCCTCGTTAGGATTGAACAGCACATGCTTTTTCTGTGCAATCATGCGGTTTGGAAAACCAGTTCTTTTTAACGAGAATCAAGTAATCAGACCAAAAAGGAAATGCCTGATTCATCAATGTGTGTACCGACCATCCCATCCCTTCTTCATGGCATGTTTGATCGTGTATGTTGGGCTTTTTCACCTACTATTCAATCAAGAATCAAAAGTGAAATTAGGCTTGATGGAACTGAATCCAGACTTTCATTTCATTATTAACCATCTCTGATAAATTTTTAATTTATTCCATTTTCTCATGTGATCAAAAGAAGACCGAACAGAGAGTTTCATGTTTGTATGACCGTCAATCGTTTTCGTTTTCAATTCAATTTGCTCACCTTTTTACTTGATGCTTGACAGTCAAATCCAAAGTTTACCGGATTTTTCGGTAATCGCGTCATGAGGACGGTTATGTAACACGTGTGAAAAACGTCCCTTGTTTAAAACGCTCTCGTTCATATTGCTTGAGGTGTAATAGATGGCCTACAAATTGATCTAGTGAATGTTTTGCATTGAGATTGGCTACATCGACCAGCCAACTCTCCCCTCTGCCACACACCCACACACCTCTCATCACATCGAAATTCGGTGATGCACAAATGCGTGATGTGTCTCTCTCGTAAAAACGCGAACAGTATGTGCAAACGAGCAACTTCACATGTGCTAGGTGAAACTAAACTGCATCACTAGTTGAGAATGGAGAATATAGATTCATGCTACCGAAAAACGTAGGTGAATGAATTTCTATCAAACAGTTCAATAAAATTGCATAAATTTGAGTGATTAATTATGCACCTGAGCAAACAAATCCAACAGGTCTAGTGTGAATCTGATCTAAGGGGCTCGGTCGGAACACCTATTTTGTTTTCTCGGAGCCACACTTAATTCCAAAATTGAATTAATGCTTCCTTCCACATTTGATGCGTTCTGTATTTCTGAGGGAAAGGGCGTGTTCACAACTTTGTGGAACTTCCTCCCTAGCAAGGGACCAATAGTCATGAGAGGAGGTCACAAGGAGACACAAGTGGTTGTATCAGTGAGGGTGGTGAATTTTCACCTTTGTTTGCTTCAAACAGCGTCAATTTCCAAATGGCGTAAGGTTAACAAAGAACATCATTGAGTAGATTTACTCCAAAAGAGAAGTGTTTCATAATATAAGTACCAGAGTTTTGATTTTCCTTTAAATCACAACAAATGTATAATTAATATTGGTGAATGGAGCCGTGACCGACTGAAGTTTCCCAAACAACGAATGATAAGTGAGGGCGACGTTGATGGGGCTCACAGTCAAGAGCTTCTAGGGGAATCCGTGTGCCATTCAACCACCACCCTCTGGGAGGGATAACCTTATCAAGTGCCAGATCAGAAGCTATAGTATTTTACCTTATTCTAAACAAAACTCCTTTTGATAATTCGAAAGAAACTAAACTGGTACAAAACGGTGGATACTGAGTGTCTAGTGTGAGCCCTATTATTCAGCTAAAAGTCAAAAAACTGAAAATGGAACTCAAGCTTATTGGAACCCATTCATAAATTACTGAATAATTCCTACGATAATTACGCATGATTTGATAAATGCTGTGGTCAAACACAATTATTCAACAATCAGGCTCTATGTTGGACAAAATGGGTGGGGGGAATGTATGCTCATTCACAAAAACTACGGGGATAGATTAACAACGGGGAGAGTTCGATCACTTCGACACTTTATTTTACTCATCTGTTCAACAAACAGCTCGATTGGTTAAGCATATACTGTTGAAGTGGCATCTACCGCATTCCAACTTTATCAGAGCACCCGTATTCAATCTCTCTCATCGTCTGACCACTTTTTTACTCGTTGATTGGCAGTTTTTGATTGACTGAAGCCCCCTTCCAGAAAAGTTTTATCACATGTTTGTCAGGCATAAAACACATGGAAGTTAAAACTCTTGTTATCAATAGGGCTCTGGTACGGCTCGTGTGATTTGAGTTGAAGACAAATCTGAAAGAAAAAAACACTCACCTCATTGTCCCCCAAATTCTCACCCAATGGACTAACAATGGGAGGAGATTTGGTTTCATTCGAAACGGAAATTATGTGCCGGATCTCCGAGCGATTTTTGTTGTTGCTGTCCTCGTTGTCCTGATCACTTGCCTTTTTTCTTGCAGTCATCCACAATAGTTGACCGATTAAATCCATGGCTTGTGTTTGAACAGACAGGTATGAGAGTAGGGCAGATGAACTTGCTCGTGCGCCGGACGAATCCGGCCAACTATCGGGCTCATTCGCACCCAACTGTGGCAAGTCGACAACTGGATAATGCTCGTCCATTCGGGTCGATCGGGTGTTCAATTGATCAGCACTTTTGTAGGATTGTAGTCCGTTTGCAAATGCCAATGGAGGTAGCCGGTTGTGAGACCACACAGGAGGTTTTTCGTGTGATTTGAAGCGCTTCGTGGAAATCGCCGTTGGTTTGAAATGAACTGCAAAAATATGATCCAAACCGCTCAGTTTGTCCTGATACTGTTGGCCACAGCTGACACATTCGT